TGTTCATAAGCGGCAGTTCTTCCGGCCATCCTCCCCCCCCCATTCTACCTCGTAACACCTGTTCGGTATCGCAGATGTCAGCAATCGGTCCCGCACATTATTTGTCATGCATTCTAAGAGAACCACTTTCCTTGCTTCCATCGTGGCCTGAACACTGCGCAACCATCCTCCTCTGATCGTTCTTCATACATACAGTATGTCTGAATCAGATGTTTGGAAGTACAAGATCGTACATGCTTAACGTCTTCCTTGTCTGTTCTTCTTGTTGCTGATTCTCGACCTTGCTCCGGTAAACTATTCCGGCTATACGAGCGAGTGCTACCAATGCTGTGCACTGGTTCATGGCTCTGATCAAGTTCTCTACACGATGTTTACTCATTAAGGTTCGCCGGATTCCTTTGTAGTGATCCTTGCTGATGACTTGTTTTATTTATCTTGCAGTATGCTTTAGAGTTCTGGCACTCCAAGTTATTTGCAGTCCTCGCATTCCTCTAGGTTCCAGATCTTCCAGCAATGTAACTCCGTGCGCTAGCTAGTCGTTGCTTTAATTCTGCGGACATTTACCATACCGCACGTGTTTGGACCAAACTGCATTTTGACATCTTCGCAGAAGATCCTTGAGCTGTAAGTCAGACTGTCTAGTTCCTTGGCAAATTTTGCGCAGAGCTTGACCTAGCTGAGTTTATTATTGTTATTTTTTTGTGACACAATCCACCAGGTGTTCAGACTGGAATCTTAGCTCATCACTGGCTCGGATTCTATCCAAGAATCTACGAGTCAGTGAGATATCGTCGCAGAAAGCGGTAGGTTCCATGTAGGACAGCTCGGAGCAGGTCAGTTCAAATTGAAACTCGATCGATACTGATGCCCTCCAGATACCTTCCCACCATTCTGGACGTTGCGCCAAGTGACCCAATCACAACCGGGGTCTTTGATGCCTTCTTCTTCCACAGACGCTGCCCTTCAAACCGATTTCTTTTTTGAATCTTGAAATACCGTAGGAGCCAGGTTTGTTCATATTCCACGACTTTCACCTGCTTACGTTGCCCTCAGTGTTTCGCAGACGGCAACCCGTACTTCCTGCACAAGTTCCAACGCAGCTTTGCAGCTACCGTCGATGTGGCTGTTTGCAATCTGTTTGAGCAATCCAGAAATCAAATGCTGCACCGTTTTTTTCTGATTCTTTGCATATCCTTCATTTGGCATCGTTCGCCCTCTTTTCGACCCTGGTCTTCATCGCATTTGTTCGTTAAGCTTATTTTTGTGTGGCAAAAATGAGTCGTTCCGGTTTCTTCTTCACTATTCCTT